CAAAAAAATATAAAATTATAATAAAAATTAATAATTTTAACAAAATTATTAATTACCATAAGTTCAACAGTATTATGTTATTAATAATTTTAACTATAAGGCAATATCCTTGATATAAAAGAAAAGAATCCAAAGAAATTATTTATAAATGATTTTGTCTTACTATATGACTAGATTATGGTCATCCCATCAATCCGGTAAATAGCTACTTTGTCTTATAGAAAAGCCTTGTACTAGTTGGAGATGATGTGGCAAGGGTAGGGGTCACAAAGTAAGGTGGCAAAAGAAAATATAAAAAGGTCTAACTAGTGTGACCATTTCACTTAACGGTCAATAAACAATACCGTCAGTTTGCATTGGACGGAGCGACAACACTAACATGTTTTAGCATTGTAGAGGGATAACAGGTGGAGTTAATTGATAGTAGAGGGACGACATGGAGCCAATCTATAGTATAAGGTTTAGATTGCACTATTTTTGATAGTAGAGGGACTATACATGGCATTAACCCAAAATTGTTTCAAAGTACAATTGCGAATTGCCTCGACAAACAGTGTGGGGTGGGGCATGTGTCCAGTACGCTGAATGCCAAAGCACCACCACTATTTTACCATGGTACCCTCCGACCCAATTCGCTGGAGGATTTCATGTGTTTGATGCGATCGAATTATTAAAATATGAATTATTAAATAGGAATAAACTTTTGATATTGAGCATTATTTTCTTGTTTTAGTAATTTTTTTACAGTTTATAATTGTTCAAATTATAAAATATAAAACTCATTATAAATTATAAAACCCATTCTAATATGTATATATTAATTTCCAATTCTTTAAAATTCAAGATTAGTGTTTATAAATTTTAAAAAAATAAAGAGAAAATACTTTAAAATTATGTTGTACAATAAAGTATCATTAAAAATTTAATTTTATACAAGTTTTAAAAATAAGTTATTTTAGTTTTTCTTAATTGGAGTTTATCACAACAACATAATTTTAATGTATTTTTCTTCTTAATTTCATAGAAATTTTTATTTATTTTGACAATGTTTTTTTCCTTTTGCTTGCTTAACACTTTCCCCTTTTCATAATAAGGATAATGTTAAAATAAGAAAAATATATTTGTCTACTTTAATAAATAAAAAAGGTAAAAACTAATTTAAAATAATTTTCAATCAATTAACTATGACTATTATTTTTTAACATTTGATTAAATTAGATCTATTTGTTTCAAATTCTTTTTATATATTTTAAAATTTGAATACAAGATCTTAAGGTCATGAGTTTAACAATTGAGTTCTTTATTTTGTAGTTTAGATTGTATCATATTATAAAATAGAAATCATTGAATGAGGAGACAACTTTCAATATCAAGAGGTTCATCTCTCATCTTAGAATTTATATTGTGTAATTTAATAAAGTCTGAATTGCACAACACTTTATTATCAATAATTAATTCTTCATTAATTGAGTTTTGATTTTTGATTTTTATAATTTTATATAAAATTAGTGCTCGTTCACTCTTTTTTTTTTGAAAAAAAAAATAGAGGAAAATTACTATAAAATTATTTCATTTCAATAAAATATAATAAGAAAAGATTAAAAAAATTCTAATGTATACTTTAAAAATAGGTTATTTTAATATTTTTAATAAAAATTTATTAAAATCATGTAATTTTGAAATAATTTTTTTACATATAGGTACATTCTCAATTTTATATTTAGTACTTAAGCAATCTACAAAAAGTAAGCAGAAAGCAAATTAGAACCATGTTATTTTAATAAAGAAGTTTAATGGATTATGTACAAGTGTGTATGTAATAACCTTGATCACTATTGATATTGTCCACTTCAGCCCATTGTCTCTCATGGTTTTAAAATGTGTCAATAAGGGGTGATGAACGTTGACTTTTAAACACAGCTCACGTGCTTTGTCCATATCACTACAAGCAGATGCATCTATACCAACAGAATTTTTCTATCTGTATACACCCCTTTTCCGTTGGTATAGACCCCCAGGCACTATTTCGACGAAAAAGTTTTCAGTCGATAGAAACCTCGTCAGTATAGGGTCTATACCTACGCCTAATCCGTCTGTATAAACCTTCGGATCTATTCCGATGGAAGATTTATCCGTTTGTATAAACCTTGAGAAATTTTAAGAATTTTTTCGTCTGTAGAGACCCTTACCTTTACCAACGGATAATTCCATCAGTATATATCCTTTTTTATTTTTTTTACAATTGATGATTCAATGTTATTTTATTTATACTTTTCTCCTGTGCTTATTTTTTTCTATATTGACAAATACCATTTGTCAATTTTTTTTTTTTTTAGAATGAAGAGAAATTCTCAAGCTTCTATAATCAACTTCAATTCTTCATATATTGAAATATTTGAAAAAATGTTCATTTAAAGCATGTAAAATATTAGGAAAAAAAGAATAAAAACATGTAACATAATTTGCTGTAAAATATTTTCGCAGCTTCGTTTTTCCCTACCATATGGAAACTAGGCTGAAGAACTAGATACAGTGATGTTTGAGTAAAGTGCATATATATGCATTTGACTAAATAAGTTTCTACTTCCGACCGGCTTCCTCAAGTCCTCGGAGCCCTCCTACCTTCTGCTCAATCTCCTCAATTAGCTCAGCTTTTCACGCCACAGTTCTGCCCTTGCATTCTCCCAATGTCTTCTTGCTGCAAGTGAACAAGATGTAGAAAGTATCTACAGAACAAAACAAAAAAAGACAACCTCAGTTTAGTCATCTATTGAACCAAACACATAGTAGACATAAAATAAAACTAGTATTTAACCAAACACACAGCAGACATAAAATAAAACTATTTGAAGTGACTTTCTAACATTCTTTATGGCTATATCACTGAGATGCTAGATAGATTTGTTGGTTATAATTTCTCTCTGTGCATCCAGTTGTTGAACTTGATGAACAAAAATAGCCATCAGAGGCCAATCTAGAAGAGCATTACTCTAATCAAAGATACCTTTACTCTTACTGTTATCATCATTCTATTAGACCACAAATTCACAAAACATTCATTTTTGAAAACAAAGAGAATCACAATGAACAGAGTTTAAAAGGAAGCTAGCTACTTGTATATACCTAGTTCCAGCCACTGAGAAGTTTGTCGCTTGAATATTGCCTAAGCTGCAACTACCCAAAAAAAAAAAAAATCATTTACTTTCCAAAGTTTATTAGTTAATCAAACATCTTGTAAGATATTTGATGAAATATTAAAGCCATTTCTAGGAGAAGTGATACTAACCAGAAAGGCAAGATGATGAATTATAAGCGTCCAAGATCTACAAAAAGCATATAAGAGTCAATACAAAGAAAGTTAACTTTTGATGATATTTTACTGTTAAATCTTTAATGAAGTCCAACAGTCTATACTAATACAATTGGACAAGTACAACAGAAACGAAGAATCTTAGTATAAATAGCATGGTTATATAACAATCCTGATAACCAAACTTGTAACCAATTTATGAAGTTTAAAAACAATTAACCATATTTCAATTAATAAGTATTGTGCAACAAGAACATAAAATGTCCAAATAAGAACAATGACATTAATTTACCTTACATAGGGATAGATCGTCATTTTTTCTATCCCAAAAAGAGCTATTGGATTTAACCAACCCACTTGAGTATTTAATTCCAGAGGCATCCTATTCTTGACAGCTTTTAGTTTCTTGAAGTTTACTTGCATTTTCAACTTTTTCTTTGAAGCTGTCTCTGATGACAAATGCATCTTTCTCACATCCTCTTTGTGGTTAGCTAAGCTCTTGAAATCATCACTTGTGTCCAACACAGGAGACTCATATACATAGCTTCCAAACCAGTTTATAATATCAGGAGGTTCTGACAGAATATGAAAAATAAACAAAACTTAAAAAGTTTGTCTTCAAAATCCTCTATATCATTCCAGCTATTTAGTTATTTTCCTATATCCTTTCAAGCAAATAAACA